AGAAATCAAACAATTGAAAACAAAAATAGGATAAAGGCCACCTACCTCCATCTGAACAATTTTTCTAAAAATGGCACAATGGACCTGCGATTAAAATCCCATTGTTCTCTTTCTCTGTCCTCCTTCCTATAGAATAGAAGCTTCAATGGGACGACGATGATTTCTAGCCCTATTAGACCTCCAGGCCTAGCGCCACAGCATTCTAAATCAAACATAAATTCAGATTTTTTTTCTTTTTAAATTCAATTCAAACATTCAAGTTATTACACTTGATGCTTAATCCCCTAGGGCTTTAATGAATCCTTTGTTATATTTTATTATCTTTACTCCTCTTTCCTAATACAATTTTCATATTCTCTATATAGCCACGACCTAGCTTTTCCTAATCCCAAAACTCATTCAACCTCATCTAAACTCTTTTTTTTTTTTTTTTTTTTTTTTTTTTTTTGAGTGAGTAGACAAAAAAGTATCATTACTCATCAATCACTGACCTAAAAAACCGCAAATCAACATTTGACTTTAGCAACACTTTAGAGTCTTATTGCATTAAGAAACAATTAACTATTGTATGCTTCTTTATTGAGTAGAATATATAGCACTCATAAATTCTTACATCAACAATATTTGAATTAAGAGACTAATTATAAACTACCTGATATCATTATCTCCTCACCCACAAACCTCTAATATGACAATATATCTATGATTGCATTGGTCAACAATCATGTATTCCATACTCAAATGAAACATATAAAACTTAATCATTAGTTTATGATGGATTGTATCAAATCCCAAACCACTAAAATCATCACATCAATTCTCAATACTAAATTGTGGATATTTTCACCAAGCCTTTATCCACCATCTTGGTTGCACCTCTTTTAAACAAGCTAATTAATGATCCAAGAAATATCATCATCTTTTTGGAAGGTGATAAAGGAATAAGCAAAAGCTACTGGCACTAGAGCACCTCTTCATCAAAGCAATCTCATCCCTTTACTTGGAACAAGCTCTATCACTTATAACCAATTAATATATGATTATCTATATATATCTACAAACATATGTAATTGAAAGAAGTGTAATGGAAATACACAATTGTCCCCCTTCTTCTCCATCCTCACTATTTCTTTGCAGTATACATTAAATTGACTTTCTTTCATAGTTTGAGTTCCAAATATGTGGAAGTTAATTATTTGATCAAATCATAGATTTTTCCATCGTTTATGATCAGGGGCGGAATCGGCTTTAGGAGCGGCTAAATTCATTCAATAAAATATTAAATAAAAAATAAGAAAAGTATAAGATATAATTCAAATGAAAGTCGTATATTTTATAATGCATGATGATTGAAACTAGGGGTGTCAATATTTGACACGACCCGAAAACCCGACTCGAACCCAACCCGAAAATTTCGGGTTAGGGTCAACCCGAACCCGAAACGGGTCAGGTTCGAGTTCAACATTTCAACCCGTTTCAAAAATCGGGTCGGGTTCGGGATAACCCTTTGACCCGAAATTGACCCGATTTTGACCAGAAAACCTGATTTTGACCCGACAACACGAGATTGACCCGTTTTTTGACCCAAAAAAGAGGAGATAGACCCGTTTTTGACACGAAAACTAGCAATTTTTTGTTGGGAACGGGTCACTCGGGTCGTGTATGGTTGACCCGGACCCGAAGCGGGTCGGGTTCGGGTCAGGAAAACTGACCCGTTTTCAGAAACGGGTCAGGTTCGGGTTGACCAGAATAGTGCTGGGTAAGTTTCGGGTTCGACTCGAACCCGACCCATGACCCGAAATTGACACCCCTAACAATGAAGGCAAGCTTCGCAATATATTTTATATTTTTGGATAATGTTACATTATAACTTCATTGAGAATCAAGTCAAACATTTATTACTTAATGTTCGATATTAGGAAAATTTTGAGCCAATCATCAATCATTCTACTACATAATTGATGCTTAACAAATTTTACTGTAGAAAATACTCTCTCTGCTGTGATAGTAATAATTTGTAAAGTTAATATGAAAATAATGAACTTGTAAGCAACAAGGGGATACATATTGTCTTTCTTTATCTTAAACAACTGAGTAAGAGAGAGGGTGAAACAGAGAGATTTTTTTTGGATTTAACTTAGTTCAAAGTATAAGATTTGAGAAAATGATTGCTTATCCATTGACTTATCTACTGATCTTATAAATTTGGGTTGAAGTACGAATTTATGATATACTATACAAATAAAATCATATAACAAAATTTAATAGATGCTTAAAATAAATTTATCTAACTTCTAGCTATTTAAATAGTATTTATTTGAATTCTGCAAATGAAAATTCTTATAAAATTGATGGCCGGTAGAAAGGTCTGGCATCTTTATTAAATCACATAGCACGTCTTGATCAATTCGTCAGGAGCTTTTGCTTTCAATTAATAAGTATTGAGTTTGGGACTTACGTATGTAATATGTGTATAAATTTATCTTAATTGACCTAAATATCCAAAAAAAACAAAAAAGTTTATTGAATAGATATGAAAATTTTGCACAATTGGTTCTGAAAGTACAACACACCTCACATTAGCATGATGGTTGAGAGTTTTTGCTACCAACCAAGAAGTTTTGAATTCAAATCTTACGTATGTGATTTGTATATGTGTTTGTCTTAAGTGACCTAACTGTTTTAAAAAAAAAAAGTTCACTTTAGATGAGTGGAGTAAGTTGCTTTAATACTTGGCGATTTTGAAAAATTTATTCTGTGCAGACCTCGAAGGCGTCCAGAAATCAATCAGAACGCTTCACGTCGTTTTCTTGCTCGATACTCAGTACCACTGTGTATTATATGACGTGGTACATTCTGATTAGTCTCTGAACTGTCCGGTGTCCGAACAGAATAATTTCTCGTAATTTTGGCTCTACCCTAATTTTCCCAAAAAAAAAAAAAAAATACTTGGTGATTTTCTTTGAATCTGCCAAAGCCGAATATACTGGCTCTGACAACATGAATTTAGCCACAAGTTCATTGTGCCTCAGCAACATCCATATACATTGACGCTTCTTAGGCAACTCGATTTTGGTTCAGCTTATTTCAACCAACGAGATCCGTTTATGATTTTATTAAGGCCCAATTTTCTTACTTTTTTTGCATCTTAAATAATAGTCATAATTTTTATTTAATTACTAATCTTTTATTACTTTTAAGAAATTATTTGAATCCTCTTTTTTAAAAAAATTATATTAGAAAAATACTTTTTGCAATAGTTCTCAAAGAAGTTACTTTTAACATAATAATTTTATAATTACATTTACAAAATGCTATAACCACCTCAAACCAACCAATAGGATTTATTTGAGATGACTATAATATTTTATAAAGCTGATAGCGAAAATAAATTCACTATTATAGAAAGTATCTTTTCATTTTAAATATTTTTTAGAAAATAATATAAAGTAAGGAAAAAATAATAGTTAAATAAAATCATAATTCCTATAAAATACAATAGTAAAAAGTGGTCCAAAATAAATCATAAATTCATATATATGTAAAACTATATCTGAAAATATTCATTGTGATTAGAGGCAAATCTAGAGTTGGGATCCTGAGGGCAAATCTAGAGTAGGGATCCTTATCTTATTATTTTATCACCGCATGCATCGTATATTAAGAGGATGTTTGATTGTCTAAGAAAAGAATACAGTCTAAAAAGAATACTGTGTAAAGTAAATACAATATAAAAAAAATATTTTTTTAGTTTTGATGAATGTAAAGAGTTTATGCTGATATTCTTTTTTTTTTTAAATAAAGTGATTGCAATTTAAAGTGAACAGGAGTGGTTGGAGTAGCCATAGGTGGAGGCCGGTGATGGTTGGCCGGCGGTGGCAGCTGGCATTGCCCAACAATGATGGCTGGGCGCCGTGGCGGCCATTTTAAATTTGCGCTGTATTTGAAAATCGTTCAAATCTGAAAATTTTAAAAAATATCAAAAATGAATTAAAATGAAACACACTATATTAACTTGGTTTATCTTAAATGTATTTTTCATCTAGCCAAACTTTTAAATTATCAAAACACCTATAGTTAGATTATTCTATATCCTACTTACAGCAAATCAAATAGCCCCTGAATTTGGACAAATTATTACGTCCGGTGTCCGGATTCGTCCGGACACCAGTTCAGACACATCACGTCACCAAAATACAATGGTACCTAGTGTATTTGGGTGACGTAGTGCGTCTGGATTGATGTCCGGATTCGTTCAGACACCAAATGTAATAATTTGTCCTAAATTTGAGGGAGGGACAGACAATCTAGAATAGTTTATATGAGCTATAAGACATCAACTAAATGACCCAATAATTATTTTTAAACTTAATGGAGAACCTCCACACTGTAATTTAGATAGAAAAAACGATAAACGGGGCCATAGAGTCACGTGATGGTGGAATGGGTCCATGCGATAGCAGCACTGAGAAAGGACAGGAAGAGGAGGACAATAGCACAGCTGCACAGGCTTGAAGTGTCACGTCAAAGACATTGTCACAGTGGGGCCCACTATTTTAGAATTCTATAATTTTAATTAATTAATTTTTAAATAAAGGGTTAGGTTTCAAAATATCAGACAAGTGATAAACGGGGTGGTTTCCGTTGCATTTGTAGTGTTTGTTTGATTTGTGATGCAAAGTGCAGCTGAAAAGCAAGTCTAGAGGTGTAGAGGGTTTGGGTGGATAATTTTTTTATTATTTTTTGAAATATTTTATTGCACAAAATTAAAATTTTGGTTGATTCAAGAACTTGTTTTTGAGAAAGTTATTTTAACAAATAGTAATAAATTCATCTCAAATTAAACCTAAATATTTATGGTTGTCATTCAAATGATGCGATTGGCCAATCTCATTTGAGCCTGGTTCAAAAAAATGTTAAAATTAATCTGTTTAATAAATGAGTTGGATTTAGGTCCAAAATTTCTACTTTATAGGTCAGATTCTGATTAACTCGCCAGCTCAATTTTGATGTTGCAAATGAATTTCTTCATTGCAGAGCATGGAGTAGAACTTATCGAGATCGATTGGTAGAAGGGAGTTTCGAATCATAGACTTGAAAGAATTGAAATTAGGGGGAAGGCCGTTCAAGGTATGAAGCATTATATCTTCCGGATCGATTTGTGATCCGGATGCGGTGATGTTATCCATTATGGATTTGATGCGGGTGAGGTACTGCTGCATAGGTTTATCCTTCATCTGAACATGGTACAACTCGTTCTTGAGTTGCATGACACGAGACCGACTGGTCGGCTGAAGTCGTCGTTCAAGAACAGCCCACGCTTCGCCGGCGGTGGTGGCTGTGATGATATATGGCAAAATTGGCTGAGAAACCGTAGAAAACAGCGCCGAGAGAAGATTGCTGTCAACGAGGAGCCATTGAGCGTGCTCAACAGACGTTGGATCGGCGGGAGGTTTCGTAGCACCGGTGAGGTGGCCGGCATAGCCATTAGCTGTGAATTGTTGAAGAAGTTGAACACGCCAAATTGGGTAATTTTCAGTTGTTAGGGGATGAGGAGCTAAGTTTTTGATGTTTGAGACAAGAAATTTGAGTGGCTGAGGTATGGTTATGGTCATGTGGTTGTGTTGATCGGAGGTGGAGGGGGAGGAGGAGGAGGGAGGAAGAATGTTCATTGATTCTTGATCTCCCATAGGTGCTCTGATACCATGAGAGCTGGATCAGGAAGAAGATGCAAGATCAAGAAGACGAGAGAACTAACGGTAGTGGAAGAGAACAGAGGAAAAGAGAAATATTATTATCGTGTGTAATGTATACAGTGACACAGTTTATATAGAAAAATAGAAGGCATAACCGGTAAATATAATGACGTAAATACAAAGTAGATTTATTATTCTAATACTATCTAGCCAATATTGGGTCCCATGTCTCTGTGGATAATTCTTCTTAGGCTATAATTGGGGATTTCAATTGTTGTAGATTTCAACAGGACAAGTCTGGAGGTGTCCCTCTCCCATAGTCAAAACTCTTTGAGCTCAACAATTTGGTTTTGATAATTAGTTGTTTGATTTGGCTTCTGTTAGGCCTCAATATACTTGGTTTAAGAATTAATTGGATAAACTCATTCATATAAAACTTGACATGATTTTTGTGAATTGGTAGCTGGCTTCAGAGATTCCCCGCCTCTTATTACAAAGTGGATAGCCCGTACTCTTCTGATCATTCACCAATTATTTTCTTTTTGCAACCCTCAGCTCCTAAAACTTCTATATTTCAATTCAAAAATTATTTGGTGAAGTTTCCTAGGTTCTGGAATGAGTTTATTGAGGCTTTCTCTAAATATCATGTTATGGATCATATTTCTCGCCTATATGCTAAACTCAAAAGCCTGAAAATCAAGATTAAGAGGAATATTTATCATTCTTCTTCTTTTAGTTCATCTTCTATTAATTTTGTAGAAACTTAGCAAAAGGATTGTTTTTTCTCTTTTAAACTTTTTTCCTACTAATGTAGAGCTTAATGTTCCTGCTAAGATTATCTTTCATAGTCTTTCTATTTTATACGGTTATTTGACTTCTTGGATGATTCAAAGAGGTAAAAGTCGTTCACTTTCTCAAGGTGAAGATTATTTGAAATTTCTATATGGAAAAATTAAGGGAAGGAAAAATCATAATTTTATTAGAGAGATGACAACTGATCTTGGGACTTTCAACACTCATGATGATATTTCTTCGGCTACTTTAAATCACTTGCAGTGCATTCTAACACTCCTATTTATGCTTCTGACTACTCTATTCCTACTGGAAGCACTATCCCTTATTACATATTTTCTTTATTAATGGCTCTTTTCTCTAATGAGGATATCAAATAAGTGATTTTTAATTCTCCTAAATGCTCCTCTCCCGAACTTGATGGATATATTGTTGAATTCTACTCTTCTACTTGGTATATTACTGGAAAATCTTTATGTGAGACAATACAACACTACCTTCCAAGAAAAGTGAAAGCTAAAACTATTTCTCTGATTCCAAAAAACTCTGTTGTTAGTAACAACAAAGACTATAGACCTCTCTTTGCAATTCCTTATACAAATTCATTGCAAAACATCTTACTAATAGGCATAAAGATTGCATGCCTCATGTTGTTAATAAGTCTCACTATGATTTCATAGTGAGAAAAATGTCTATTGATAATATCCTTTTAGTCGATGAGCTTCTTTTTAATTTAAAAAAGGATCTCACTCAAAATATTTGTGTTAAATTTGATATTTTCATGGCTTTGACGCAGTTTGAAGGAATTACATCTTTATTGGGCTTCATGATAAAGGAGTCCCTAATGTTTTATAGGTTGGATTAAAACTTGTATTGACAATGTTTACTTCTCTCTTTCTATCAATGACACTTTAGAAGATTTGTTAGCTCTTCTTCTAGTCTCAGACAAGGTTGCCCATTTTCTCTCTATCTTTTATGTGTTGCTATGGATGGGCTTTCTACTTTATTTAACAAGGCTGTTAATGATAGTAACTTCTTAGGAGTTCACATTGGAAATACAGTTTTCACCCACCAATGTATGTTGACGATCTCTTGGTTTTTGTTGAAGCAAATTTTAAAAATTTGTATGCATTAAATCACATTATAACTATTTTTGCTAAAATGTATGGGCTAAATATTAACTCTTCTAAGAGTTCGATTATGTTCTCTAAAACTCTAGACAAAATGCAGCTGTTTTTGCCATTCTCAATATCACTACTGAATCTATTTTTATGAATTACTTAAGGATTATTATTTCTATCAAAAGGTTAAAGGTGTCTGATTTCAAGGGGTTAGTTGCCAAAATTTTGTCTCTCGTAGATTAGTGGTAAATGAAATCCCTCTCTTTTGTTGGACGGGTTCAATACCTTAAGTTCACTATTTCTAACACAATCACCTATTGGATTTGGGGTGTTATTTTACCTAAATCTTGTTTTAAACACCTCAACAAGCTTTTGTGCTAATTTTTTATATCACAGTGATATTCGTTCCATAAAATTGCAACTAATCTCATGGAAGAACACTTGTAAGCCTAGGAAATATGGTGGATTAGGCATTCGTTATCTGGATTTTTAGCTTTTGCTTATAATTTTGTATTGATTTTGAGATGTCTCTCCACTTCGTCTCTCCTCTCCTCTTACTGTAAAGCTAAATATCTCTCTTTTCGAATTGTAACAATGTGAAAAGCTCTAAATGGCAGAGAACTATTAAAGACACTAGTGAAAGTCTGAAACATGATCTGAATTTCTATGTTAGTCCATATTCAAATTTATCTTTTTTATTGTGATCCTTGGATTAAGGAGAAATCTATTGTAGGTTTGGTGAATGAAAACATCTTTTCCTTTTACTTTGATGGTAATGATGTGCAAGATTATATTTTCAATGGAAGATGGCTCCTTCCTGTTTCTCTACATTTTTCCATTAAAGATGATATTTCTGCCATTTCAATTCTTAACACCTCTACTGCATAATTGAATTGGAAGGGCGAAGTTAAGCCTTGCATTAAAGATTATATCAATTACCTTTATTGCAACTTGCCCTCTCCTGTTTGGTCTAACATGTTATGGCATAAAAACTTCTCTCTTCGGTTTTCTATGTATAGCTGGTTAGCGTTACTGGGAGGCTTGAAAACTGTGGATAATCTTATTAAAAGAAACATTAGAGTGATTCCTAATTGTGTTCTTTGTTTGGGATGCTTTGAGAGCACGAGACGTCTATATTTTGATTGTGACTTTGTTTTTTAATTGCTATGCAGCTTCATTCCATCTTTTTCTTCTTTTTACCAAAGGCCTAATTTGCAGCAAGCTTTAAACTTTGTGGCTGACTGTGTGGACATACTTGCTACTATAAAATCGGTTTTTTATTTAGCAATTTGGGCTCTTGTTTATTATATCTGGAAGGAGAGAAATGGGAGAAGTTTTTGCAATCTCTCTTGCAGTTTATATACTGTTAAACATGATATTAGGAAGGCTATTCAACTTAAACTTCTTGAAACACTGGCAGACCTTTCAGCTGTTGCTTTGTCATTAACCGGATTGTTTTGCTCTCCGCCTGGCAGCTGCTGCTGCAATCAATTTGTTCATTGGTCCGTTGGATTTTCTTCGTTGGGCACCTTATGGCAACCGGGTGTGCTGAAGGAACAATTATTAGGTCCGGACACCGGACGTAGTTCTACATCCGGAGGCCAATAACATGTCGCCACGTGCTCTTATTCTTTACCGCGCGGCCCCGGTATTGCTATGTTCACGTATTGCTCGATATTGCTCGATATTGCTCGGTATTGCTAGGTATTGGTCTTGACATAATGATATTTCTCATTATTGCCGAGCAATATCGAGCAATACCTAGCAAT